GTGTGTGTGTGTGTGTGTGTGTGTGTGTGTGTGTGTTTGGGGGGGGGGTCAGGTTGCCATCTCTTCCTCCCCTCCCCCGCCCCCCTGCAAAGAGCACCCCCAAGGCCGCCTCGGGAGGACAGAGTGGGGCGCCAGGCTGGGCAGGGGCTGAGGAGCCATGGATCCTCTTTTGAGTTTGAGACTGGGGACTTCTCCCCAGTGTGCATGGAAAAAAAGTGGGTGAGGGTGGGCCGCACACCTGGGCATTCTCTTCCTCCCAGGTCTGTGCCCAGCCTGCAGTCAGGGGCCCAGCCCGGTCCCTGGCTGCCAGCTCCCCGATCTGTGGTCCTTGGTGAGAGATGCAGGGGGCCGGGATGCTCATGGCAAGGGCAGGGAGACTCTGGCATCCTTCCCAGGTGTCTTCCTTTCCTTTTTCCATGTCCAGTCAGAAACTGACCCCTTTGCCTTCTTTTCCTGTCTTCATTTTTTTTTTTTTAAATTGGGATGTCTTAGAGTGGAAAGGGTATGTTTGGTTTCCATTGAGACCGTGGCAGGTTGCTTTGATGCTGCTTCAAGATTCTTTCTGGAGAAAAAGAGGGACTCTGAGAAGCTGTCTGCCAGGGTAACCTTGGTGGTGGCGGCGTGTGTGTGTGTGTGTGTGTGTGTGTGTGTGAGAGAGAGAGAGAGAGAGGGTGTTGTTCAGTTCATCCACAGACCACCCCAGTAAAAAACTGCTATTCCATCTGGAAGCCTAGGTTCTTTTCTTTGCTGTACCTGGGAAAGGGTCAAAGGGAGATCTGAAAGATGTGCTCTGGGGGTGGGGTGAGGTGTGTGTGGGGTAATACAGTTTCTTTCTTAGTAGAAAACAGATCAGATCCCAGCACCCCAGTTCCCACCTTTGTGTCTGCAGGAGCAAGGTGCCTTTAGCTTGCTGCTGGTGTGCATGTGACCAGTGTGGCTCCTGTCCTGTGGCAGGACAGCCCTCCCATAGCTGATCTCCACCCCCTCCCCCTTCTTTATGGTTGGAAAGAGCTACATCTTCTGACCTATGGACACAGAAGGCATTGGAGGCTCTGGACTTCTGGGGACTGGCCGGCCTCTCCTGTGAGTGAGCTGATGACACAAGTGGTTGTAGGGATGGGGCCTTCCGGGACAACTAGAGCTAGAGGCATGGAAGGGTGGGCTGAGATGAAGCTTCCTCCCCACCCCTGAGAATTTGTATTTACAGAAAGAGATGAGCCATGGAGGATGGGTATGGGTGGGGTGTCTGGTCCTAGAAAAAAAGTTGACCACTGAAAGATACAGGACCATTAAGGGATCGTAGAAAATGAAGTGCCTTGAAGTTTAGATCTGTCACCCTGAACATATTGCTAGAGTCAGGGTCCCCATACAGGCGCCGAGCCAGCCAGGTCCACTTCTGTGGACCTTTCCACTCTGAGTAGGGTTGATTATTGCTCAGATCCTCTACTGGATTTACCCCAAGCTGTTCATTCCTAGCCGAGGATAATGATATGGAGGCCTGACCGCCCCACTCCCAGGGGTGAGAGAGCTGGCTTTTCATGGACTGACTGTTACTCAAATGTACGGGCTATAAGATGGGAAATTGATACTCCCTTGACTCCGTCTTTGAAAGTGATGAGGCATGAATTCTTACATTTACAAAGTGATTTAAGAGCCTCAGGTCTTTGGAATGAAAGATATTAAATGAGTTAGTGAGCCTTATACTGCATTTAGTTCGGTTGTATCAGACTTGCATATTGTGTCTAAAGGGAAAGGTGTCATTTTACAGGAAAAGGCTAAATTACAGCTTTTGTGATAGGGAAAGCCAACACTGGTTGGCTTCAAAAGTGTAGTTGTTATCAGAAAAGCTGTTGCCTCAGGTATACAGGCAGCAAGTGTTTGTTGTTGGTTTTTGTTTGTTTTTCTGTCAGCCTCTGTTCTCAGGATGTGTTAGAGCTCCTTCCTGGTTGGGATTTCCCTGGGAAACATCAGGCCAGGATGTCACCCTCCAAGCTCTGAGAAGGGTCTTTGATGATGTCAGCGGGGGTGGGGTGGGGTCTGATGTCATATGGATACTGTTGAGGCAGGCTGGCCCCATCAACAGTCCTATCAGATCTGGCTGTCCTTGAAGAAGAAAAGGGATAGCTAACCCTCCCCCAATCAGAGGGCTCTCAAATTTGTGTCCTTCTGACTCTCCTTCCTCTTCTCTCCACCCCTGAATTACAGACAAAGTGTTTTGGGTATTAGTTTTTTGTATTTCAGGAACATTCCTTGTAAGATGTGGATAATTTCTCTCTTGGTAAACTCTTAGCTCCCTTTGTGTTAATACCTTGGTGGTGGGGATATGGGGAAGGATTCCTATAAACCAGACTTTCTGGCCAGATTTTCTGCTTCTCTCTGCCCCTCCCCCTTCCATTTCTCAGACGTAAAAAGTAAAGCGTAAACTGATTCAGGAGGAAAGGGAAGAGAGGTCATTTTCTTTTTTAAATTGTAGTTCCCCTTGAGGGAAACTGAGTCATACTGAGAGTCAGCACTTTGGCTGTGGCATATGTGAACAGGCATGTTGAGTGGATTTGAGAGTTATACCATGAGATAAAGAATCGTGGAGAGAAATTAGGTACCTGTGTTTGGTTTAAGATGTACACCTGCCTGAGGCTTTGAGCTGTGGGATGCTCCAGCTGCTACCATCCAAGGAAAAGGAAGTGGTTTCTGGCCTTGATACATACATCCATAGATAGACCAGAGGTTAAGTGAGTAACTCAGCTGGTTCCCAAGATAGAAAGGAAGGCCTTTCTGTCTGCTCCCTTCCCTTTGCTGGCACACACCAAGCTGCAGGGGACATCTCTCACTTTCTACAACTCTTATGGTCCAACTCAAGGTTCACTTTAACATAAGTTCCTGGGTTAGGAAGGTGGCTCAGTGGTAGAGCGCTTGCCTTGCATGCATGAGGCCCTGGGTTTGATTCCTCAGCACCACATGAGCAGAAAAAGCCAGAAGTGGCACTGTGGCTTAGGTGGTAGAGTGCTAGCCTTGAGCTGAAGAGCTGAGGGACAGAGTCCAGGCCCAGAGTTCAGGACCTACGACTGACCAAAACAAACAAACCAACAACAAACCCCAAACCAAGAAAAAAACAAAAACCATCAGTTCCCCTGGTGCATAAACTTAATGGGGTCAAGGGTGCACAGTGATACTGGTCTCCTTGCTCCTTTGAAGGATGGTTCTAAAAAGAAACCCTGTCATCTTGGTGCTTCTGTGCTAGCGTCAGGCACAAATCAGTTTGGCAATCAGAAGAATAACCACAGTCGTTACTAATTCTAACCACTCCCCTCCTTCCCCCTCTCCATTCTAACCACTCCCCTCCTTCCCCCTCTCCAAGATCCTTTACTCTGCTGGCTTCCAGGGAGTTTGAGATCCTCTCAGGGCTCCTGTTTGCGATGGTGATGTTGTAGAAGGGATAACATCACTAAAATTAGGGCACCCAGGCAGGACTTGGGTCTTCAGATTGCTTCTTTCTTTGAAAGTATGGCAGTATTCAGGACTTCACCTACCAATTAATATAGGCATATCTACTAGATAATCACACACACATACACACACACACACACACACACACACACACAAATATAAAGAGAGCACTTTCTGCCACTCCTTCCAAAAGCCACACACTTAGAATATACTGAGAAATTATCTATTTCTGACTGCTCTCGAAGTTGGGCTTGAGTGATGAAAGCCTTCTAGTTGCTTCATTCATTATTTTAGTTTGTAAGAAGCACCTCTGCCATGTGAACTTCTGGAATGAACTATTTCTATCAGAAAAAAAAATCACTCACCTTGAGTTTCAGTAAGGCCTTAACACCTGCTGGGAGGACTAGGAATACCATCCAAGAAATAGATCCAAAGTTTACCAAGAGACAATTCTCTTCTAGACTTTCTGAGAGACATTGTGGCTTTGAGCCACAGTGCACTTCCTGGGGCTCTGTGGTTTCATGGCTTGCACAGTTAGCACAGGGACAGACTCTGGAGAAGTCTTTGTAGATAATACAGGAAGCCCATCTTGTACATAACAACTGCCATTCTGTGGAGCAATGATGGGAACTTGATTTTAGCTCACTGGCAATCCTTATTCTTTCCCACTATTGTTCTTGGCCAAACTCAATCCTTGTCCCTAGTCCTTAGGTCTTCTTCCCTCTTATGCATCATTCTCATCCTCATCTATCATCATAATACTAACAATATTAAGCCAGGCACTGGTGGTACATACTTGCAATCTTGGCTACTCAGAAGGCTGAGATCTGAGGATTGCAGTTTGAAGCCAGCCTAGGCAGGAAAGTCTATGAGACTCTTGATCTCCAATTAACCACCAGAAAACTGGAAGTGGAGTTGTGGAGCAAAAGACCTTAGGGACAGCAGGGTAGGCCTTGAGTTTAAACCTCATGACTGACAAAAAATTAATAAAAAATGTTTCCATAGCCAGGAATAAGGCATCCAGTGTATAAATCATATTTTCATCTACAGTTTAAAATAAATAAGGACAAGAAATATAGCAACACATGCGATTATTCTGGATTTTTGTCTTTTATTTTCTTGCCAAAAGCAATGAGATGACCTTTTTATACTGACCTGTAGATGCTGTCAAGCTTTCTTATTCCTGCACAGTGTCTAGCATATGTGAGTGCTTCTTCAACCATCAGCAGTGGCTCTTGAATGTGATCAGATGCCCAGATTTGTAGGTCATTGGGCATTGAATCTGCTTATATGGGAGCTAATGACAGACACATTTCAGAAATCAAGCTGGGCACTAGTGGCTTGTGCATGTAGTCCTAGCTGCTCAGGAGGCTGAGATCTGAGAATTATTCAAAGCTAGTCTAGGTAGCAAAGTCCATGAGACTCTCATTTCCAATTAACCATCAAATAGCTAGAAGTGGATCTGTGGCTCAAGTGGTAGCGCATTAGCTTTGAGCTCCAAAAAATAAATAAATAAAAAGCTTAGAGACATTAGGGACAGTGTACCATCACTCAGTTCAAGCCCCAGGACTGGGGTGTTTATGCACGCAAGCGCTCTCTCTCTCTCTCTCACATACACACACACACTAAAATCAGGACATTTGGGATTCCCTCCTGACTCAATTGATGTTGCATAGCCCATTTCAGCCCCAGACTCTGAGACTTGTTATAGCCTAAGAGTTGACCACCTTAATTTATTGAATGTTTATTAAAAACCAGACATTGGGTTAAATAATATATATATATATACATATATGTATGTATGTATGTATAGTCTTTCTGTTGCAGCAAAGAGCAAGCTATCATTGATATTCCTCACTTTACAGTTGGAAACACTGAGCCTTTGCAAGGTAAAGTGACTGCACAAATCACCCAGCTGAATTAGGATTTGAACAGAGAGCTATCTGATTCTCTTGTGTATTGTGAGTGTTGAATTGAGCGGGTGATGAAACAAATGTTGAGGAAAGGATCAAAACGTAAGTACCACTAGTAAACATATAAGAAAAGTCGATGTGGCTTAAACCTAGCCAGGTAGAGGGAGATGGAAGTACAGATTTTTATTTGAAAACAGCTTCCTGATGAATGTTCAGGAAAGGTCTGTAGCCTGCAGCAGGGAAGTAGGCCAGATGGCCTGGGAGCTTTTTTTTTTTTTTTATAAGGGGAACAGGATTTTTGCTTGGCATAGGAATGTATCATATAAACCCTATTTCATTGTGATGCCAAAATTTTCTTCTTGCTGGCCAATTTTCCTCTTCCTCTTCTTGGGTAGCATTTTCCTCTTTGTTACCCTGTTGCTGCTAGTCCTAACAACTTAGCTTTTCAGATTTCTGACTCTAATCTTCATTTTCCAGCGTAGTTTCTGGGCCATCCTTTTGCCTGTCGTTATCATACAGCTGGGAGGGCTGATTATGATGCCAATCCCAGGTATACTCTGCAAAGTACAGAAAGAATTAGACTGTTCTCCTGGAAAGGATTTCTGGCCACTGAGTAGTCCATTTAGAGATGACTAGTTCATTGAGATCCATTCATTTTTTGTTCAAGGCAAGTTAGCTATATACCTCTTCTAGTATTTTGAGGTGTTTGTAGAGGAGGAATGAGGG